AAGAGGATCCAAGTTGAGATCGTTGCGTTGTTCTCTCTGGAAATCAGCCGCGTTGGGGAACGTGCTTGTAACAGCAGCAAGGCAGTCGTCAAAATTCTCAGCATTGCAGTCGGTAGTCGCAAGAGGAATCCGGGAGAGGCAGTCTGCGTCAGCGTGATGACGGCCACTCTTGTACGACACCGTAAAGTTGTATTCTTGAAGTCGCAGCACCCAACGTGCGAGGCTGCCAGAGAGATCACGCAAACCAACCAGCCAGCATAACGAATGGTGATTGATAATTATCTTAAATGGCCTACCGTAAAGATAACAACGAAACTTCTGTACGACAAAAACAGCTGCCAGACATTCCTGTTCAGTAACTGTGTAATTGCCTTCAGATTTGCTCAGGCAACGGCTGGCATATGCCATGACATGCTCTGCGTCATTGTGACGTTGTACAAGCACCGCTTCTATACTGATACCACTAGCGTCCGTGTGGACCTCAGTCCGGCAAGATGGATCGAAGTGACGCAACAGTGGTGCTGACGTTAGTACAAACTTAAGTTGTGAGAATGCGGCGTCACACTCTAGTGTCCAGTTGAAGGTTGCATCCTGTCGCAAGATGCTTGTCAGCGGGTACTTGATCTCCGCAAATCGTAGAACAAAACGACGAAAATATGAGCATAGGCCGACAAATGAGCGAAGTTCTCGTGCGGACTGCGGTGATTTAAAAGAGCTCACTGCTTCTATCTTGCGAGGATCGGATCTGACGCCATCCTTGTCGACCAAGTGACCCAGCACGACAGTTTGACGTTCGCCAGAGCGACAAATTTTAGAATTCAGAACCAGCCCAGCTTATTCGATGCTGTCGAAAACAAGACTGAGACGATTGTTATGTTCCTCAAACGTACGGCCAAAGATCACAACATCGTCAAGGTAGGACATACATATCTCCCATTTTAGACCACGTAATACTGTGTCCATAAATCTTTCAAAGGTGGCTGGAGCATTACAAAGGCCAAAAGGCATGACATTAAATTCAAATAAGCCATCCGGGGTTACGAAAGCAGTCTTTTCTTTGTCGCCGGGTTCCATAGGTATTTGCCAATAACCTGACCGCAAATCAAGCGTTGAAAAATAGGAAGCGGCATGCAAGCAATTTATGACGTCATTAATCCGCGGTAAGGGATATACATCTTTCTTCCTCACAGTGTTTAGACGCCTGTAATCTACGCAGAATCTCCAGGAACCATCCTTTTTCCTGACAAGAATTACCGGGGCTGCCCACGGGCTGGACAACTCTTGCACGACACCTTTGTTCAGCATGTCCTTTACTTGTTCAACGATAACTTTGCACTCAGAGGATGACACTCGGTAGGGCTTTTGGCAGATGGGGTGTGCAGAGCCGGTGTCTATTCTGTGACAAGCGCGGGACGAGGGTAACTGAAGGTGTGCATCTCTATGTTTGAAGTCGAAAGCAGCAACATGCCGGGAAAGGACCTGCACTAGCGCTTGCCGTTCTGTCGTACTGAGAGTCTTGCTGATCATACCGAGCATTAAATCTTCATTATGGCGAATATCACAAGAAGAGGAAGCGGTGGTGAGGTCCGTAGCTAGTGCTGCTATCGAGCTGCATGAGGCTTCATCGAAGAGAGCTATCTTCATCCCGCGAGGAAGCACTACCGGCGTGGCAGGACAGTTCAGCGCTCACAATGTTGCTACTCCTTTTGTCATGCACACAACAGAACAGGGCACAAGTATGTCCTTCTTAGAACAGTTCTTGCGTAGAGGCCCCACTATGAGGTCAACACAAGCATCATCAACCGCTGTGGAAGAGACTCGAACGGGTGTCGGGCACCAAGATGGTGCTATCACTTCATCAATCACGCTAAGTGTGTTTCTGTCTTTGCCACGGTATTCTTCTTCGGAAAGCGACGGTTGAAACAAATATTTTAGTGATATTTTCCTACTACCACAGTCGACGAAAGCACCGCATTGCTCCAGGAAATCGATACCAAGAATGACATGGTGCGAACAACGAGATAGAACCAGAAATTCCGATACAAATACTTTTCCAGCCAATGAAACACTGACAACACATACACCAAGAAGATTAAGCCACTCGCCGCCTACACCACAAAAGGTGATTGTATCGTCCCATGAAAACATAACTTTGCGACCTAAGCGGTTTTTGAAGGCGAGGCTCATCACAGACACAGTCACCCCAGTGTCAACTAACGCCATCGTCGGTATTCCATCAATCAACACATTCACTTTGTTTTTGAGCATAACAATAGGCAGAGGTATATCTTGAAAAGACCGTCCGGCGACCTCACCTCCATTGGCCGCGGATGCTAGTTTCTCAGCAGCGGAGAAGAAGAACGACGCAGAGGAGGCGGCGAGCGACGAGAACGGTTGGATGGTAGTGTCAAACTCCGCTCGGATGCTGGCGAATCACTGCGTCTGGTCTCGCGCGAAAAACGGTCCCTTGGCAACAAGTCGGTTGTCTGCAGGTCATATGAAGCATCAGGTCTTGGTGGCGAAGACATAGCTGGTGTCCTTCGGGATTGGCGGCGTTGTTGGCGGCAATACCGAGCAATATGCCCAGTGAAACCACAGTTGTAGTACACGGGAGGGTCACGGTTTATGCTATATTCATTGGAAAGAATTCTGGGCCGCTGCTGTCGGCGAGGAAGTTCGTTATCACGCGAAGAACGGGTTTCCGCCACTCTCTGGAATTTATTGCATTCGTCGTAAGTTGCATCTTGGTAGTAGGGTCGGTACTGTCCTTGCCGCAGCGGGACGTAATCCGGCTGAAAGTCCCGAGTATAAGAATGCGGCTGTGCTCGTCGTGATCGTGCGTCATAGGCAGGGCCTCTATTGTAGAGACGGGGCTGATACTGAGGTGTGGCATCAGAATCCTCAAAGCCCTTTGTCACTCGGTGCGAGGAGAATGAAGCAACGTTTCGCTCGAACTCTGGTGGCTGGTACGGGGGATGAGTGCTTGGGCGGTGTGCCACTTGCGCATACAGGCCGAGTTCTTCACGTACTATTTGCCGAATTGTTGATGCAAGATCAAGCATCTGGTTGCTGTCTATACTCGCGATGGTCGTCATATTGGCTAGCCTGCTGAACTTCGGCGTGATGCACCTCGTCTTTAGTTGCTCAAAAGTGCGGCAATGGCGAATGACATCGGTGACAGATGTCAAGGTGTCTTTCGCAATGAGGAAACTGTAAACATCCTCGGCGATTCCTTTTAGAATGCGCCCGACTTTGTCTTCCTCAGACATTCCGAAGTCAATGGTCCTACATAGCTTGATGACTTCCTCAATGTAGGTTGTGCAAGTTTCATCTGGCACTTGAGCGCGTTGCATTAGCGTCTATTCTGCTCTTTTCTTTTTCGTTGTTGGGTCGCCGAAACGCTCTTTGATTTCAGAAACAAATCTGTCCCACGTCGTTAGCGTTTCCTCCCGATTCTCGTACCACATTAATGCAGTATTCGTCAGAAAGAACGCGACGTACAAAAGCTGAGAAACGGCATCCCATTTGTTAGCGGCGCTCACCCGTTTGTAATGGATGAGCCAAGCCTCGACGTCTTCATCTGGTCTGCCGGCGAAGGGATGAGCATCTCTCAGTTGTGGAGCCGAACTGGTCGGCACAGAAGTCGAGAGGGGTCGGTGTTCATCTGCGTTGTGGGACATGTCCAGCCCAGATGGATTCGGTGGAAGTCCAGCAATGCGACGGCTCCGTCTAAGAACTTGCGGTTCAACCTCCGTCTTCGGGTGTCAATTACCTAGCACGTTTACCACAACTGTAACAGCGAACTGTGATAAAATAGTTTTATTTACATGAGGTGAACGATGGTCGTTCGCGGCAGCACACTGCGATCGTGCCAAGACTCTACGTCTTCCCCTCCTTCTCTTCTCTACCTTTTACTAGTCCGTTACAATATGAAAAGATTTTTCCTGGTAAATTCATCTTATGTCTCTTTTTGCAGAAAGTGCAACTTTGTCAAATTACCCAAATAATTTGCATAAAAAACACAATGTATTTGCGAATTGAAAATGTTATAAGTTTATTTGTAATTCTTTGGGACACGTATTCTAACTTCGAGGTGTATGCTAAATTGTAAAGAAGGTTAGAACCATCAGTGTAAAGCCATTTAGCACCGATTTTTTGGCGTAAGCGGTGAAAACAATGAATGTTTTGCTGTCATGCACCACATTTTAATAGTTCGAACGGAAGTTTGCTCAATCCATTATCGCAACTTTCTGCAGGTTACTTAACGTTCGCTAGCCGTGTAAACAGCTGCATTGTACCTTGGTAGACTTGCCCTGCAACAATGAGGAATTATCACCCCCATATCACGTAAGAGCGCGCATGACAGGCACAGAAAAAGGCGGCACTCGGCCATGAAGCAAGCGAGTCCTTGCCATGTCGTCACTTCACTGCGACTGCCGCGCCGCCAGTGTTCGTTCTCGGGGCTATATGCTCGCTCTCGCCTGGTAATCGCCGAGCTCATGAGCGCGATGTGCGCTCCGCCGCCGCCCGCCGCCGCTTCTCGCTACATCGGCGGTGGGGCAACCGCGTAAAATGCATGCTCATGCCAAAAATGGCAAGTTTCGTGGCAAAATTTTGGGATTGTTCGTGGCGAAAATTCGTTATATCAAGGATGTCTCCCGCTGTTACTGTGTTACATAGAGGTCGCAAATACATGTGCTTCTATGAAGTAACGACTGGGAATAGAAAATCTTCGTTATATTGAGGAATTTATTATATGGAGGTTCGTTATAAGCAGGTTTAACTGTACTAGGTGGGTTCAACTGTAGTTGTTTATTGCTTTGCTTTTCTGTGATATTGTTTTATCTCTTCTTGGGCACACATGGTGTCCCTTTGAGGACAGAATTCTCAACTTTGTTTTCTTTCCCTCTTTGCGGTGCTTACGCATCTTTACTTGATTATTAATGGGTGCACACCGATGGAGCTTTGTACTATAACCTGATGGGCTTTTCTTTGTGCAGCACCCATCACCCTGGTTTCACCAACGGGCTGGCTTTCTGTATACTTTCGGCGTGGACGCCTGCCCCAAGGGTTCAGTGCTAGTTTTCGTCGCCTGGACTGCCCCAATGCATGCATTTTTAAGCCACAGCGCCACTGCAGCCGCAATGGAGAGTGTGTGTGTAGCCGTGGCTATGTTGGCAGCCATTGCCAGGTAGCCAGCTGCCCCAATGAGTGCTCAGCAAGCCAGCACCATGGAATCTGCGAAAAGGTGCTATGATTTTTCTTATGTGTACTGCTGTATTTAGCTTGCCCAGGTGGCATGTGTCAAATGAAATTATAAGTATTACTTGGCCCACTCTATAAATATGGCTTTCCACTTTTTATTGCATAGTTACACTGTTGCCTGTGGTAAATGGGTGAAAAAGAAATCTTATGGGCAAAACACAGTACCTTTTAGCATGTTGTTGATCTTTCCTATAAGCAAACAGAAAGCTGAACTAGTTGGTAAGTATTTATTCTAAAAGACTGGTCATGCAAACACAGACTCAAAAAAGTAGTCAAGACACGACAAATGCAACTATCAACGGAAGAGGCGCACAAGGGGCAAAAAGAAAAAAAGGGGAGCATGCCCATGCAAAATGCAAACCTATTAATTCAGCACGCATGGATGTCTACGAGAAAGATTGATGTTGGTTTTCCTTACGTTTCTGTAGCTACTGCTGTTGAATGTTTAAAAATGTCTATTAAATTAAGTCCCATCATAGTTGAAGAAAACAAAGCGGAAAAAGATGTGTCATAGGTATTTCATGCATTCATTGCATATCTCGCAGATTAACCCATTGGCTGGAGCAGCTGGCAATCCGCCGGTCATGTTGGCGAGGCCGAAAGCGCTTTGACTGGCAAATCACCAGCCGCTTAGAAAATTATTCTTTTTGATGATATTTTCTAGGTGGCAGCACAAAATTTAAAGTTGGCTGTTTGTTGGATATGTTCTCTGCCAGATCGACATAGTTGTCTGTTGTTTGAGCAGTTTGTGCATGTTTGTTTGTGTGCTATTATTGGCAAAGGATGCGCGTTCTGGGCTTTTTCGAAACATGTTGCCGCATCAAAACTCGCCTGTCATGGCCTTATCAATGCACCAACAAGCTGCCATGTGCGCTCATTTTTCTCGTCAGACCCTGCCTAAAAAATTAAAGTCCGAGAGCCGATGGGGTGTGAAAAATGCGAAGTAGTTCTTCACGTGCTTGTGTTCTTTAAAGTTTTTTACTCACGAAAATATTATTGAAACAGTTGATGCAGAGAAGCATTGCTAACAGAGTAAATCAGAATTTGTTGGGATTTAACATTTTCACGTAGTCTGTATATTCAAGAATATTCAGCAAAAGGAGTTCTGTAGTCATGTTGAGCTATTCGAAAGTTATGACCATTTTTTCCAATTTTTCCTTGGGGCATCTGAAATCGAAACTCAAGGTTTCCGATTACAAAACACTTGTGATCTCATCATAAATGCCCTGTTGTGTACATACTATGTAATGCTAAATTGTCAAAGTATGTTATAAAGCTTGTGTGATGTGCTGTTTAAGATTTGTTTTCAAATTTTCACTACACGGCTGTGGCACTCTGTTGTGTAGGTTGTGTGTGCTTTCGCTCGGCTGTCTGGTTTTTTAATACATAATTTCAAGCTCTAGGAATTTTCCCGACCCTTAACAAAGAAATTTATAGTACTCCATGAAATATGACGAAGTATAGCATGAAAAAGAAGTCGCAACGCAAACTAAAGAGTCGAGATACGAAGCATGGACCCACTGTGTAGCGCATGGATGAAGTTAAGCTAAAAACGCAAAACGAGCTTGGAAAAAAAAAAAATGTGCTTCAGTTTATTAAAAAAAAAAAAAGACTGTGCGGTTTCCGAGGTCTCAAGCTGTGGCCCTGGTGAATTTCAGACATATTAAATGTTTCAGACGTATCAAATGGGCATTAAATTGAAATCTCTAAAGCCTTTAGGGGTGTACAAATATTAAAATTTTTGCATATTTTTTAAGTAGTGTTTGCTATTCTATTTGATTCACACTTGTAATGTTACTTTTCGAACTCTTCGGACTTTTCGAAGACAAATACAGCAAATGTTCCATTGGCAGTGGCCCCTTCAGATTTTCAATATGTTTCACCCTATAAAACTTTTATATTGCGGCAAGGCTGCCTTCCAGGCTCTGCAACACTTGCAAATGTATTTTTTCAAGAAAACGCTGGTTCCAACGTAGAGATGATAGGTGTGGCTGAGGTGGTGGCTCAATTAATGCTTTTTTGGACCTGAAATTTGGCCATGAAGTCCAAATAAATTGGACACCAAACATTTTTACCATTTCTAGGTTCTTATATAGAGTTGACATCTTTCAGGCAGATGTGAAACTGCGGACTATAAGAGACCACATTCTTGACCAGCAGTTCAGTTTTCACAGAAGTTAAAGAGGAGGAGAAAAGGCTGAGAAAATAGCACCTTTGCTTTTCATATTTAAACTGTTGTTGGCAATGCTTAGGTTGCACCATATCATGTACATAAATATGACTCGACCTCTGCATTGCCTCATTTTTGACAAGGCAGCGATCCCCGCAGGGGCGCCTGTGCAAGTAGGCGTTTGGTGTGTAGCGACACCACGGACCCGAGCTAACGGGGGAGTTTTGACTCCCTCCCACGCCTAGCCGTGCGTGGCTTTGCCATGTCCGGGGAAAAGGGGATCCTGGGGGTTGACCTGACGCTGGGTGATTGGACCTTTAAGGCCCCCTGGCAGAGGCAACACACCTCTTTGGCCCCGGCTTCACGTAGACGGCACCCCTGGGCTGACCCACCCAGGGGAAATCGGCAGTCGCCTTTTCCTATCTCTCTCTGCCTATATCTTCGTCTTTATCTCTCACTATCTATCTGTCCTGTCCTCTACTCTCTTCTGTTTACTTCCAATTTTCCTGGCGGCAAGGGTTAACCCTGTGCAAATAGCCTACCTTGGTCTAGGCGCATTGGGTTATGGCAGTGTTGTACGGCTGACGTCTGCAAACTTTCAGCACCTGTAAACTTGCAGCGTCCCCTTGTTGGGCTCCGTGGTGGGTGGCCGCCAACGCTGCTGAACAAACATAAGACCGGCATGCATGGCGCATTTCCTCTACTACCTGATCGTGCCGGCCTAAAGCGGGTACGCACCGACGACATAAATCTCTTCAACCAGCCAATAGAAACTTTTCCCCACTTCCACGTCATTCACTGCGAAAAAACCGGAAAGCAAGCCAGGACAGTATCTCCTTTCGTAGTTGCCAGGTGTCTTACGGAAACTCTCGGGGCTGGATACAAAGTAACCAAAATGGCGAGCGGAGACCTTCTTCTAGAAATTCGGGACAAAGCACAATTTGTAAAGCTAAACAGCCTCTCAACGTTTGGTGACGTACCGATCACCGTAACACCACACCGATCCATGAACGTCACTCGCGGAGTGGTATCTGATGCAGACTTACTTGAGCTCACCGAGACTGAACTTTTGGAAGGGTGGAAGAGCCAAAATGTCAATAATGTACAGAGAATTATCATCAGAAGAAATAATAAGGAAATACCAACGAAACACTTGATACTCACGTTTGCATCCAGTAAACTACCAGATTCCATTCAAACAGGGTACACAAAGACATCTATCAGGCCGTATATACCAAACCCTCGTCGTTGCTTTCAATGCCAGAAGTATGGCCATGGCTCTAAAACCTGTCGTGGTCGCCAGACTTGTGCACAATGTAGAGTCCTAGGCCACGTGTCTGAGAACTGCAAACAACCGCCACACTGTGTAAACTGTGAAGGAAACCATGCCGCATATTCACGCTCCTGCACATATTGGAAAAAAGAAAAAGAAATAATTACATTGAAGGTGAAGGAGAACATTACGTTTAAGGAAGCGCGGCGAAGAGTCGCTCCATTCTATGGACCTACATACGCTGATGCGGCGCGTCAGGGGGCACCGCCGCACCAGCCCTCGCCACCCCTTCGGCCCGCGCAGAGCGAGCCGTCGGCTGTGGCACCTGCCCCCAAGGCGGCTGTAGCCCAGGCTACACCGCCTACTCCCGAACAGAGACTGGAGACTCCAGAGTCTTCGGGCCTCAAGGCCTCCCCTCACCAGGCGAGGCCCAAAATCCGAACTAACAGCCCGCACGTGCGGGCATCCAGTGCCTCCGAGGAGCCAATGGATACGTCGGCACCCTTGGTGCCGAAAGAGCGGCGTGGCTCCTTGGAGCGCGCCAAGAAAACAAAAAAGCAAATAACAGGGCCTGGTGACGGCCCTGTTAAGTGAACTCAAACTCCCCGTCTAAACAGCCACTCGCTTTTCGTACACACAGCATTATTTTACATTCACCATGAACACTCAAATTATACAATGGAACGTCAGGGGCCTTCTCAGAAACCTTGACGACATCCAAGAACTCTTACACGAACACTCACCAAAAGTGCTGTGTGTACAAGAAACACACCTTAATTCAAAACACACAAATTTTCTTCGTAAATACGTCATTTTCCGAAAGGACCGTGTTGATGCCATGACATCATCCGGAGGTGTTGCCATCATAGTGAATCAAGGAATTGCATGCACACACATACAACTCCAAACATCCCTTGAGGCAGTGGCTGTTCGAGCAGTTCTTTTTGATAAACTGATCACAATCTGCACTATTTACATTCCTCCTAGCTATCAGCTACAAAAACGTGATTTACACTCTCTAATTGATGAATTTCCGGAGCCTTATGTTCTCCTTGGAGACTTTAATGCGCATAGCAGGCTATGGGGTGATTCTCGATATGACGCGCGAGGTCGACTGATCGAGCAGTTCCTTCTCTCGTCGAGCGCGTGTCTCCTGAATCGAAAAGAACCAACCTATTATAATCTCGCTAATAACACCTACTCCTCCATAGTCCTAAGCATAGCATCTCCATCTCTTGTGGCTCTACTCCAGTGGAATGTCGTCGGTAATCTGTACGGAAGTGACCACTTCCCCGTAGTTTTGAGCACAACTACAGTAACCGAGTGCCCACCACGTGTTCCCAAGTGGCTAACAAACAGAGCCGACTGGGAACAGTTTTATACTATCGCTCGTCTAGGTTGGAATGACATCTGTACTTTGAACATTGATGTTGCTGTGAACTACTTCACAGCGTTTTTGATTGATGCTGCAACAAAATGCATCCCACAAACAAATGGACACCCTGGAAAACGACGTGTGCCATGGTGGAACTCTGAATGC